TAACTTTGCTTTATATGCTCCACCACATACAGAGTAAATGCAAAATGGATAATATACCCAAAGATAAAGGCTTAAACCATAAAACACCTAGCAGAAAACATGTGAGAAAATTTCTATGACTTCGGGTTAGGCAACAATTTCTTAGACATGTCACTAAAAGCATGATTCATTAGAAAAGATTTTGATGAATTTGACTTCATCAAAATTTAAAACTGCTTGCTTTGTTTGTTTGTTTGTTTTTGAGACAAAATCTCACTCTCTTGCCCAGGCTGGAGTGCAGTGGGGCAATCTCTGCTCACTGCATCCTCTGCCTCCCGGGTTCAAGCCATTCTCCTGCCTCAGCCTCTCAAGTAGCTGGGACTACAAGCACATGCCACCAAGCCTGGGTAAATTTTTTTATTCTATTTTTAGTAGAGGCAGGGTTTCACCATATTGGCCAGGCTGCTGTTGAACTCCTGACCTCATGATCTGCCCACCTCCACCTCCCAAAGTACTGGGACTATAGGTGTGAGCCACCTCATCCAGCCTAAAACTGCTCTTCTAAAGACACTGTTAACAGATGAAAGGACAAGCCATAGTCTGGAAGAACGTATTTGCAAATCATGTATCTGATAAAGAACTTCTATCCAGATGTAACAAACTCTCAAAACTCAGTCATAAGAAAACAAGTAACCCAATAAAAATAGGCAAAGATTTTAGTAGAGAGTCCACCAAGAAAATATATGGATGGCAAAATAAGCACATGAAATATATTCATGTCAGCTGGGCATGGTGGCTTATGCCTGTAATCCCAGCACTTTGGGAGGTCAAGGTGAGAGACTCACTTGAATCCAGGAGTTCGAGACCAGACTGGCTAATATGGCAAAACCCCATGTCTACTAAAAATACAAAAATTAGCCAAGCGTGGTGGTGCACGCCTGTCACCCCAGCTACTTGAGAAGCCGAGGCATGAGAATCACTTGAACCAGGGAGGCAGAGTTGCAGTGAGCTGAGATTGAGCCACTGCACTCCAGCCTGGGTGACAGATCAAGACTCTGTCAAAAAGAAAGAAAGGAAGAAGGAAAGAAGGAGGGAGGGAGGGACAGAGGGAGGGAGGAAGGCAGGCAGGCAGGCAGGCAGGAAGGAAGACACTCATGTCATCACATGCAAATCAAAGCACTCTTTATACTCCATTCAGTGGTGCTGCTTTGCTTGCCTAGCTCTCAGCAGTTCTCTCATGCCCTCTATGGAGGACATGACTTCCTCCAAAATAAACCAAGGACTCCATTTAGGTAGGCTTAGGGTATAGCTTTTTGCCCTCAGCTCTGCACACGGGAGCACAGAATCAATCTATTCTACTGTTGCTTTGTTGCACACTTGGAAACACTTTGCACTTTCTTTCCTTGGGTATCTCCCTCCTTCAAGAGTTGAGCTGATTTTTTTCAATTCTAGAAATACAAAGTATCTATTCCATGCTATTTCTCTGATAATAAAGCATGATAGACTCAGGCTTTTGGTATATACAGAGTCTGTTTCACATTATCTTCTGTTCCTGGGTTTGACAACTTCTCTTTATCTCATTAAAACAAAAGCCTGATATCTCTGAAAGAGTATAGGTTTCTTTTTTTTTTTTTTTTTTTGAGACAGTCTCACTCTGTCACCTAGGCTGGAGTGCAGTGGCGCAATCTCATCACACTGCAGCTTCTGCCTCCTGGGTTCAAACGATTCTCCTGCCTCAGCCTCCTGAGTAGCTGGGACTACAGGCACCTGCCACCATGTCCAACTAATTTTTGTATTTTTAGTAGAGACGAGGTTTCGGCATATTGGTGAGGCTGGTCTTGAACTGACCTTGTGATCTGCCTGCCTCCGCCTCCTGAAGTGCTTGGATTACAGGCATGAGCCACTGTGCCCGGCCAGGAGTATAGGTTTCAAAATGACAACCTGCAAGTTACATTCTGGGGCATATGTGTTTTGTCCATATAATATTTAAAATATTTTTGAAATTAATTGCCAAAATTGAAAAGGGAAGATATTTTGTAAAAATTTAGAATTCTGTCTCATCTTTAAAAACAAGAGTAGGCTGGACATGGTGGCTCATGCCTACAATACCAGCACTTTGGGAGGCTGAGGCTAGAAGATAGCTTGAAGCCAGGAGTTCAAGACCAGCCTAGGCAACACAGTGAGACCCCCGTCTCTACAAAGTATTAAAACAATTAATCAGTGTGGTGGCATACACCTACAGTCCTAGCTACTCAGGAGGCTGAGATGAGAGGATTGCTTCAGCCCAGGAGTTCGAGGCTGCAGTGAGCTGTGATCGTACCACTACACTCCAGCCTGAGTGACAAGAGTAAGACTCTTGTCTCTAAATAATAAAAATTTTAAAACTAAATAAAACAAGAAGATCTGATATCATGGCTGCAGCATTCTCACATGGCAACATTTGTCAAGAGCTAAGTAGCAACTTCTTTTAGGCAGGGCTTAGGGGTGTATGCTCTTTGGTTTGTCTGAATCACCATTCAACTGGCTTCACTCATTTCACATACCTCGCTGACCCTTCTGTAGGCATTTGAGTTTAGACCTCTGCAGTAGAATTTCATCTCCTCTCAGGGTCTGTTTATCCTCTACAGTAGGCTAAGGAATGGCCCCAAAGATATCCAGGTCCTAATCACTAGAACCTGTGACTGTTACCTTGCATAGCAAAAGAGCCTTGCAGATGTGATTACATCCTGAGTTTTGGAGATTATTCTGGATTACCTAAGTGGGCCCGAAATGCAATCACAAGGGACCTTGTAAGAGGAGTGGTCAGAGAGAGAGAGAGTTGATGACAGAAGATGAAGAGTCAACCTGACAGTGGAAACTGGGAGAAAAGGTGGTGTGATGTGGGGCTGTGAGACCCTCAGGAATGAGGACAGCCTCCAGATGCTGGATGAGGCCAGGCAAAGGATTCTCCTCTCAAGTTTCCAGAGGCTGCACCTCACTGCCAACACCTTGATTTCAGTCTGGTGAAGCTGATTTTGGACTTCTGACCTCCAGAAGAAAATAAATGTGGTATTTTAAGCCACAGAATTTGTGTTGATTTGTTGCAGCAGCCACAGGAGGCTCATACAACCTCCCCGGGTGGAAAAATGGGTTTGTGATGGTCCTATAATGCTATCACACATTTTCCCATGTTAAGCCATTCCTAGCTCAGGGTTTTTTGGTTTTTTCTTTTTTCTTTTTTGAGACAGAGTCTGGCTCTGTTGTAGGCTAGAGTGCAGTGGCACAACCTTGGCTCACTGCAACTTCCACCTCCTGGGCTCAAGTAATCCTCCCACCTCAGCCCTGAAAGTAGCTGGTATTACAGGCATGCACCACCATGCCTGGCTAATTTTGTATTTTTAGTAGAGACGGAGTTTCTCTATGTTGGTCAGGCAGGTCTGAAATTCGAACCTCAGGTGATCCACCTGACCCGGCCTCCCAAAGTGCTGAGATTACAGGTGTGAGCCACTGCGCCCAGCCCAGGAGTTTTGTTTTTAACATGTTACCCCTAGGATCATGTTGGATCTACTCATACGGAGGGATCAGTCTGAGTAAACCACTATGTAAGCAAATGGGAGAATATCTTAACACTACTTTATATCTGCTTCTGTCTACTTTCCTTCTTCATCACTGGAACCTGTAAAGGGAAAAACTGATAAAATAATTTTGAGTTGCTAGGAAAGAATCCCAAGTTTCTATATGGTTAGGTAGTTAGATACTGTATAGGTAATTAGATTACTTATTTTTATCTACTCAAATCCTCCAGTGAATCTAACAAAATATTGGTCTAGAAAAATCAATTTTAGTCATAAAATTCACTTGTTTCTTCTTTCAGTTTGGAAGAGAGAAATAAACATTTAGAAGATTTAATTAGAAAGCCCAGAGAAAAAGCCAGAAAACCAAGGTAAGTTTTCCTCTCTTTTTAAGATTAATAATGTCTTTAAAATATAAATAATACGACTGGGCTCAGTGGCTCGCACCTGTAATTTAAGCACTTTGGGAAGCCAAAGTGGTTGGATTACTTGAGGTCAGGAGTTTGAGACCAGCCTGGCCAACATGGCGAAAACGCTGTCTCTACTAAATATACAAAAATTAGCCAGGTATGGTGGCTCATGCCTGTAATCCCAGCTACTGCGGGTGCTGAGGCAGGAGGATCACTTGAACCTGGGAGATTGAGGTTGCAGTGATCCGAGATCATGCCACTGCACTCCAGCCTGGGCAACAGAG